ATTCTCAGAGCTTTATATTGGCTTTTATCTGTGACTCTTAAAATGACCAAATAATCATGATTGCACCTATATCCATGCCTATTGTTGCTGAGAGTTAAAATATTGTTTATGTACTACTGTGTTTAAAAAATCGTGGCGTTATTTTTCCAGAAAGATATTGACTTGATAATTTAAGTTAAAGGCATAGTCATAGCCTACTATTTTTATGGTGTTAAATCTTTGAAAATATGAGCTACATAGTCTACACGTAGTTTAAGTTTGAGGGCTCCAGTTTCACACTACGATGTTCATAATTACACTGGTCAATGTATATTTTTCCTGATGAAAAATAGCGTTGATAGTTAAGGAGACTAAATACTACACACATCAGAAAGATGTGAAGTCAATTGTTGGACACAGAGTACTTTTTAAAAATTTTATTTAATATTTTAATTTTACCTATATGAGTGTATTGCCTGCATGTATGTGAATGCACCCGTGTTGTGCAATGCCGCGGAGGTCATAAGAGGGCTTCGGATTCCCCTGGAACTGGAGTTAAGGACGGTTTGTAGCCGCCATGTGGGTGCTGGGAAGCGAACCCGAGTCCTCTGCAAGACCAATCAGTGCCCTTAACTGCTGAGCCATCTCTCCAGCCCCCACAGAGTACTTTTATACTTATATATGTCATTCAACAAGTGGACATATTCAAGCACTGCAGATCTCCCGAACCAGGTTTGGGCCATAATGATTATGATACACAAGCAATATGCATCACAACTGACTTTTAAATAAAGCTCACATTATCTCCTAACATGTCCTCTACACTATTAAGCCCATATGAACAGAATTCTCTTTCTTATAGACAAAACGCAACTCTGCACAGGTAAAAATTTCCAGCAATTAACTATGATAAAATATATAATTCTTAAGACGTATGACTAAATATTATATCTCAAAAATTTGCTCAGGAAATTTGTATTATGCTTTTATCTATATTCTTTTGTATGGCATTATTTCTTTTATTTACAGAAATTGTGGTGGTTTTCTCTTTCCTCATAATGATGCACAAACATCACTGATAGCATTTTATTTAGATTTTGGCAGGTGCTCACCAGGATTTCAGGTGTTTTACATGAAACAATCAGCACTAGGAGCAACAACAGTGTAACTAGAATGGAGGAACTAAACACAAAACCCAGGCAGGTATGATGAACCAGACACATAGAGAGGTTTATGATGGGGCCCAGAGTCACCCTCACAAGTGAAGTTATCTGATATCAACACAGATCATATGGCTCCAGAGTTCACATCATTCTCCACTGTCCTATACTCTGCCTTCAACTGTGCCCAAAGTCCTTTCTAAATGCCATTCTGTGGGAGGACTGAAGGATTGTTTAGCCATAATAGCTATTCCATCTCATTTGCAATTGGTTTCCATTTTCCAAGTAACAGTAATAAGCCTGAGATATTTGTATGACTCAGCAAACACAATAAAGAACAGAATGTGTCAGCAGAACAGAATGGAGTCTTGCTGCACTGAGTCTTGTAGAAAGCTTGATGGGGAAGGATTGTAGAATTATTTATTATTGTATTTCCATTTCATGTGCAACATGAGATGTAGTTGTAATAACATTTAGAAGATAACCCAGAGACATGATTTCTCAAAATGAGCACAGACTATTTTCTTTAACATATTTAGCATGCTGATCTCGGGGATCTATACATAGAATGTATTGTCCTTCAGAAAACATTTTATATTGTACCAAGATCACTTGCTCTCTACCTCTGATTTCAGTTTCTAATTTCTCCTCTTTCACTACATAGTTCATCCAAAGGGGTCTAATAATATAAAAATACAGCAGCAGCTTCTGATGAAGTACTTGGTTACATTCATGGGTTTGATTTGTTCAGTTAAATCACATATTCTTAGTACAGGGAAAGTGAATATAAGAGATCTATGAATCTAGGAAAATGAGGGCACAATGGGCAGAATAAGTGTCAGATGAAGCAGTTACTACAGATAGAAGTGTGCTGGATATTTCTGTGGAAATTGGAATCTTAACAATCTGTTCTCTTAAAATTCAGTGAGTGATCTTTGAAGACTGAAATCTATTTAAGATATAAAGGCTGATACCTACTACTGTGATATCACAGCAACCAGCAGAATTCTCAAACAGACCAATATGATATTCTAGGGGTATACTCCACAAATACAACCATGCCAAGGAAATATTCTACAGTAGCTGGTGTATTGAGGGTCTATTCTTTATCTAGAGAACAGACTTTCAAAAGCAGGACCCTTGTTACTCTTTTTCTTTATTGATGACTACTATGCTAAAATGTAGCATTTTAAATAAGAAGGATGACCAGGGTATACATCGAGGTCATTCTTTATAATTTTTTAAAAGTAACTTTCATGTTAGTATAGAAAGTAATGCATTTCATCACAGCGTCTTCACACATGTGACTTCGTAATTTTTGGTTTGTTCCCTTTCCCCATTGTCCTCACTTTGTGCCCTTCTGACTCCAGCTACATTACTTTTTTTCTCCCTGTTTATCCATCTCCATCTTCTCATTTCTCACAGCATGTATTCTGGTAAACTCTCTATGTAGCACCTCCCTTCAGATATCTTCTAATAATTCATTTTAAGATCCTAGAAAAGTAAGAACAATTCAATCTCAGAGCAGTAGAATGTAAAAAATCATAGCAACCTGGCAGGAAGGATGAACTGGATAAAACCTTATAAACAGTTGATAAAAGTGGTCCTTTGGGACCAGGGTAAGCATAAATGAAATTGACAACACTTTAGCGAAACTATCCATTGCAGTCTTGAGGTAGAGCCTGTATCACTTGTGTCAACAAGATAGTCTATTGGAAACAGAATTACCAACACAAGTGTACTGGGCTCCTTGAAAGAGAAATTTAGAACTGGCTATTAAATGTCCACTGCAGGTTTACCGCTGATGCAGATAATGATGAAGACGTGCTTCATGGCCTTATGGATTCATAGCCAGGATCCCAACTTCCTGGGAGACTCTGTTCTTCACATCTCTCTGAATGAAGCCTCATAAAAGGGTCAATGGGACAGAGCAACAATGTGACAGAATTTGTCCTCCTGGGCCTTACTCGGGATCCTGCTGAGCAAAAAGCATTATTTCTCATGTTCTTCCTCATCTACATTGTGACGATGGGGGGCAACCTGCTCATTGTGATGACGGTCATTGTCAGCCCCTCCTTGGACTCCCCACTGTACTTCTTCCTTGCCTATCTGTCCCTTTTGGATGCTGTGTATTCTACTGCCATCTCACCAAAATTGATGATCGACTTACTGTGTAATAGGACTACTATCTCCTTTCAAGCTTGTATGTCTCAGCTCTTTCTAGAGCACCTACTGGGTGGTGCTGAGGTCTTCCTTCTGGTTGTCATGGCCTACGATCGCTATGTGGCCATCTGTAAGCCACTGCACTATTTGACCATCATGAATCAGAGGGTTTGCATCCTCCTGTTGGTGGTATCCTGGGCTGGAGGCTTTGCACATTCTGTGGCTCAACTTCTCTTCGTTTACAACCTTCCCTTCTGTGGCCCTAATGTCATCGACCACTTCATCTGTGACATGTACCCATTGTTAGGATTAGCATGCACTGACACCTACTTCCTTGGCCTCACTGTCATTGCCAATGGTGGAGCAATCTGTATTTTAGTTTTTATTCTTCTCATAATCTCCTATGGAATCATTCTAATCTCACTCAAATCTCACAGTCAGGAAGGGAGGCACAAAGCCCTGTCTACCTGCAGCTCCCATATCACAGTGATTGTCCTCTTTTTTGTTCCATGTATTTTCATGTATGCCAGACCTGTTTCCAACTTTCCTATTGATAAATACATTACTGTTTTTTATACAGTTATCACTCCGATTTTGAATCCTTTAATATATGCCTTAAGAAATTCAGAGATGAAAAAGTCTATGGAAAATCTAGTGTGCAATGCATTGGCTACAGATAGAATAAGAATGTCTTCTCACTAAACATGCTACTTTGTAAAATAATAGGCAACAAGTCCTAACAAATGATTATAGAACCTACTCAGTGCATCTCTTTTTTTTTTCTTAACCCAAATCCATCAAAAGCGAAACAGAAAAAATAAGCATTTGACATTAGAATGAATTTAATAAACAATTTCTGAAAGATAAAGGTATAGGGCTTTGTCTTGTTAATGAAAACGCAAAACTAGGTAAACTTAGTGACTTTTAATGATTGTAGCCTCATGGACAATCTTTTTTTATCTGTATCTATTGGTTTACCCACCTATGCTATTTAGAGACCAGCTGCAAACATGGTTTCTCATGGATATCTGAAAGGCATAAAGCTTGTCTCCCTCATCCTCTCAAATAGTCCTCCTTCTGCTTTCATGATACAGATAC